GAGTCTTGTAAAATATATGGCCCGTTCCTTTAGTCTCCGAGGATTTAATAATGTCATCATGGGATTTCATTTGTGCAAAGGGTGCAAAATTTGATGGGTTGTTTTCAAGGTTCATTAGTCTCTTGAAGGGAGGGGGATGCTCAAATTGAGAAACAGCTCCATTCATAGGAGGTGTAGGCCAAAACCTATCAACATCTCCACCGGCAAAAGGTAGAGGAAGAAATGGAGGAAGTGGTGGTTGTTGTGCAGGATCAGGAAAACTCATCGTGTTTTGGTATTTAAAGAAATCTCCGAATTCTTCTCACTATGCTAAGTTTAAAATCTTGGCAATAAAAAAGAAAAAGAAAAAACTGATACCAACCTGAAATAAATCATAAGAATTAAAAAACAAAAATGACGGGGATTGAAATTTGATGTGATGTCAATGCAAACGATCATAAATTGTTCAAAATAATCAACAGCCACATAAAATATTAGTCCAAAATAGCACAAAGAATTAAAAGCACCAAAAAAATCAAGAATAGGAAAATTTGAATAGAAAGATAAGCCACATCTGAACTACAAAATCAATAATCATGTACCAATGTTTAGTCATGAGGCTGGGGTTTTAAATTCCCTCTAAATATAAATTTAAAATATTAGATTTAAGAGATGAGAAAGTCATAATTTATTTAGAACAATTTTTATTTTTACTTTTGTTTTTTGTTTTTTATTTTATTAGAATCAAGCCCTTTAGTCTCTTAATCTAACTTGAATCTTAAATTTTAACTAGATCTTTCTATCACAATTAACCAGGCTAAGAAATTTGCTGAGACACCTAAAGACTCCCCCGATTTTATGCTCTTGGATCTTCCCCTTTTCTTTTTTTTTTTTTTTCTTTTCTTTTTTTTTTTTTTTATGAACTTCATTAGGTTTTTATTGTGTTTTTTTTTCTCCTGGGGATTAGACACCCTTAATTTCAATATTGAGATTTTACCTTTTCTGATATGTCCATCAATTGATGTGCACCTCTAGCATGGTCTTTTTTAAAGGGCACATCACCAGTAAAAGGGGGTTGATCTAATTTCATCTTAGCTTACTATGTATTTTAAATTCCACTTGTTGCCCATGTATTCCATCAACTTGAAAAGGCTATTGAATCTCTCCCAAACAGTAGCTCAAATTCATCTGGCACTAAAATACTTCCAAGGATATGAAGACAACTGTAATGTCAAATTTTCAGCTATCGAAATTCCCCAGGCCACTTTCCTTTCATGAGAGCATGTTTGGTTCTGTACTTTCTTAGTATTTTGTCAAACATAATTTTCAAAGTTGATTTTAAGCAGAACTAAACTTGGTCTGAGTCTTCTAAATTTATGGTCCTATGCAATTGTCCATGGAGCTTTTATGGATATTTACAAGTGGCCACAGGCTGTATAGAAAGAATTGATGAGTCAATAACAACTTAAATGTTCTGATCTTGATTGGTGACAGAGATTGCTTTTTATGCTATGAAAAAATTGCAAACAAAGAAACGAAAAATCGTCAACCGGCGTGCCTCAAAGAGTCGCAAGATCCGGTAAGTTGCCAACGGTTTCATTATTTAGTTTATACTTGACACATACCAAAATGCATTTTTACAATTGTCTAAATTCCTTGGGTTTGATCATATAGGTATCATGTTCATGAAAAGATTGTCAAATTTATGGCACCTCGGCCCATGAATCTTTCTCCTGATGCATCTATGATATTTCAAAATTTGTTTGGCCTCAGAACCCGGAAATCTGCTTCAGCGTTATAGCCGACTTTCTATGCTGCAAAACCGTGTGAGAATATCTAAGCTTGAAATTTCATTTTTGGTTCACATGGTTAAAATAATGGCCATAGAATGTTGTTGTATAATTTGATCAGCTTTCTAAGTATTTTGACATCTGTGGTTGATTGGTTGAAGGTTCTCTGGTAAAAATATGCTGTTTGATGGCTCTCAATGGTTTTCGATGCTCCTTTGTATGGCAATGGTCCAATGGATATGGCCTCTGTAACTTAGACTATGAGACAGGATTTATTATTATTATTATTATTATTATTATTATTATTATTATCATTATTTTTAAGAGCTTGTTTGGAAGTGATTTTTTCCCTCCAAAAAATTGATTTTTTGACCGTTATTTTACTATTTTAGCCGTCATATTTGACTCTTCCCTCACAGATAGATACCACTTTTCTCTTAACGGTCAAAAAATAAATTCTTAAAATCACTCCCAAACAGGCTTTAAAATAAAGTCGAGGTTTTTTAGGCCTTCTTTCCTCATTCGTACGAGTAATGAGTAATGCTATTCATTAGATATCATTACTGGTCTTAGTGACATTGAATCTTGTGATTTTATTTTGTCATTCATTTTTATTTTTTAAGTTGAAATATAAGTCCATGGGATTTTCGATTAGATTTAGGGTGCAAGGAAATTGAAATAGAAAAAGTAATATAACATGACACGTGAAAAGCAAGTGACCCACGATATGAATGGATAATGTTTTAAGAAAATTTATTACTATAATAAGTAACAATTTAGAAAAGTACTGAAAGCGCTGGACTTGAAAGGTTAGTGACGTAATAGGCTGACGAAGGGGGTGGCGATGTGATTGAAGTTGTTGGAGAAAAAAATCTTGACATTGAACGGACAAATACGGTGTTGACGGGGGATGATTGGTTGACTTTCTCCAATTTATTGAATATATTTTTGTCTTACCTTTTCAATTGCAAATTATTCTTTAAAATAATATTATACGTAAAATAAATTTTTTTAATAACCTTCTTGCGAAAAATTATTATTTCGAAATATATTCTTTTCCAACATATAATTTTAAAGAAGTTCAAATGAGGGCTTAAGTTAAAAAGTTATTTTTTATTGCCAAATAAATTATTAGTAATCTTTTTTTTATTACTGTTGTGGACAAAATTATTGGATTTTATCCAAGAAATTTTACTTTAAAGTCAGAAATTTTTGTCAAAAGAAGTTGGTTGGTTGACTCCCCCATTAAAGGTTGTAATGGGTCGTCCAATAATATGGATATTTTTGGAAAAGAAAGGTCTTTCCTATTTGATATAGATTTAAATCAAATTTTAATCTATATTAAAATCAAACAATCAATATTAACTGCATATTTTTAGGGTTTCATAATTTTTTGACCACATATTTTAAAATATTTTATCAAAATTTATTAAATATCTAATTTTAATTCCACCAAACAGGGGCTTAAGACTTTTTTTCATTTTTTATGGACCAAAAAGAATCTTCATCAACTTTTCTCTTTATTTTATTTTCAATGGCAATACCGACTTTATTTAACTTCTGAGAACTGAGCTTGCAGTCAAGTTTTGTTATTTTAATTGTTTTTCAATTTGCCAAATTATTAGTATTTTTAAAATAATAAGCCTTGTAGAAAGTAATATATAAATAAGAGCAAAATTTTCTTGGTCTCCAACCTATTAGTCGAATCACAAGTTAGTTCTTGAGTACTTATAAACGAGGAACAAGTTAATCTCTCTATAATTTAAAGGTCGAAGTCAAACTTTAATTTTAATTAACCACATTTGATATGACTCACAATTACTAACCCCTTATTCATCGTTAATATATATCATATTATAATTTCAACTACTTGTAATGAAAACCAAACACCTCTCCACATTAATTAGACTCGATGGACACATTGCATCAGGTTTCTATAATATTGACATGACAAGGCATTAGTGTTGTGCCACTAGTCTCAATGGATGGATTCGGAATTTTTCAGTTTCAACGACAGATTTTTCAACTTTTCTTGAACGGAATAGAGGTCGGAGATATAGTTAATTACTTTTTTAGGATTAGAGACTGACATTAAATTTAAACTTAGTTGCTAAGTCACACAATTTAAACGTACACATCACATTTGAAATTCACAACTAGAGGCTGTTTGGGAGTGATTTTGAGAATTGATTTTTTGACCGTTAGGAGAAAAGTGGGGTCCACCTGTGAGAGAAGAAGTCAAATATGACGGCTAGAATAGTTAAATAACGGTCAAAAAATCAATTTTTTGGGTGAAAAAATCGGGCCCAAACAACCCTCTAATCTTTTCGATACCACGTATGCCTCTCAATAATTGCAAACGGTCGGTAGATTGGTCTAAAAAAGTCGTTTGAATCAGCAGATATTCTTTCAAGAAAATAAGCAATTAGCCAATTACAGCACTTTGAGTCTTTGACAATCTTTATTTTGACACATTGTCATTTTATTTATTGTACGTTCAGGTCAGTAAGACGGATTTGGGGGCACGCCTTTGTTGAATATTTTGATTCCAACTACGTGATTGCATGAAAAAAAAAAAAAAAAAAGTTTGTTTAGTATTGATTTAAATTAGATTTTAATCTAAATTGAAGTCAAACAATTAATTTCAGCCACATATTTCACAAGTCTTACAACTTTTAAGCACACATTTTAAAATTTTTTTATCAAAATTTACTAAAAATTTAATTCTAATCCCTACTAAATAAAAGCTAAAAAACAACAACATTGTCGTAAATATTGAACCCATGGACCACAAGAATTCTAGAAACATAATATAGATTCACTGGTAAGTAATCCGCTCACTATAATTGACCGAGGGTATCGTTCTAATTAGTGGGACAATAATGAAACTTTAAGCCTATTTGAAACTCTATCCAATTGTACGATCCAATCAATTTAAGGTCGGCTGTTGCCATCTTGAAAATCGAGTCCATTTACATTTAAAAGAATATAGATTTTGACTTAAAAAATATATATATTTAGATTTTTTTCAGAATTTTCTTTTTAGGTGAAAGTAACCTTGCTTTTTATCAAGCTACAGCACATTCATAGTAGTTAAAATCTTAAAGAATTATGTTGCTCAAATAGGGGCATGTCAAAGGCCCTTGTGACAGGGCTAGGGGCTCATGATCGGCAAGAAATAGATAGAAAACAGATCAATTTTTCGATATATAGCTCAAAGCTCAATAATGCAATTCTCATATTATTCACTGGAGATGTTAACATCTTTTCAAGCTTATATTTGATATTTTATGTTTCCAACATTGATAAATACTCCAATTTTGTTTAACTTGATTATAAAAGTGAACATCTTGTTTAAGTTGTGTCTCTAATATATAAATTTTGTCAAAATTTTTATGAGTTATTCAAATTTTATTTTATGATATTAGGGTTATTATGATAGCTGGAAAGAAGTGGGCAATTGTCCCTAACCAGTTTGATCTAGCCATAAGTTAGTATTAAACTTATGAAAAGATAATTAGTGTCACTTCCTCAAGAATCTTCTAGTAATCGACATTAGCCAGCTACATGGCCCTACTCATTTAGCATTAATCCTCTATTTATACTTACTGGCTCATTAATTTTCTCACCTCCCAATTCCTTCATACATAGACCAGTTATGGCCTATCCTCAGCGAAACCTCAATCCCTGCACCTCCCGATTCAATCACACATAGACCAGTCATGGCCTCTTCACAACGAAACCTCAATCCCACAATTCAAATCTCCCTGTCCAGCCAAGAACACTGTCACGAGCGTGACAAGGTCCGTTGTATTGTACGAGAGAGGAAAGTGAGTTCCTTGAGAGAATATGGTGGTGCTCCCATGGCTGCCGCTGCTTTCAATTCTAATATTGAAACAGGCCTTCAGACGGGTACGGCTCTAACAGCAGGATTGAAACAAGTCGATCACCCAAGTTTCACCAGCTTCGTGTTGGAGGAGTTCAAAAGTGCTACCTTGCTTCCGCTCTTCGTCTCTGCTGTAATTTGTTTCATCGCAGGGATTGTCTCGGAAAAACCTGATTACGGCTGGCCTGAGGGTGTTGACATACTGGTTAACATTCTCATTCTTGTCTTTCTACCTTCTATTCAGAAATACTGGACTGCAAGAAAAGATGAGAAGAAAATGAAGTTACAAAATGTGACGGTAATAAGAGATGGGGAGCATCAAGCTTTGGCGGTCTCCGAGGTGGTGGAGGGTGATTTAGCTGTTTTAGAGAAGGGAGATGTCATTCCTGGCGATGGCTTGCTGGTGTTCGGGAATAAACTAAAGGTTGATGATAGGTTAGATTCCCGTATTGATCGTGATAATAATCCATTTCTCTTTTCGGGTTCAAAAGTTGTCATGGGAGAAGGCCGCATGATCGTCGTGTCTATTGGTTCTAAAACATCTCTAGGCGAGATGATGCTGAACCGCAATCCGTGTGAAGAACCCTTGTTCCAGGCTCACATGAAAGCACTTAGCAGGACCATGGATTATATTGTCATGTTCATATATATCGTGCTTGCTTTGGTGTTATTCTTCCAGCTCCTGTACACGAGAAACCACCATAAGGACGACCAGAAGAGTGTTCAACCACCCAACTTGAATAATAAAGTGTCAGCCGAATTTGTAGAAACTTTGTTCAAGAAGATCTTGTTGAGATCGAGAGGTAAAATCATCCTTCTGATCTATTCACTTACTATCGTTGATCTGGGGTTGCAGGGTATTTTACCTCCGACTATT